GTTAAAAACTATTGTTCTTTTGAGGCCCTCAAGGTGGTGCTCGCGGCCCACAATTAGGCCACGGCCCATAGGTTAAGAATCTCTGGCCTAGAGGATCTTACACAAGACAAAAGAATAGGCAGACGTATGAAGAACTTAGAAAAAAAGAAAATATCAGGTTCCAAACCATGTACCCAGCATGATGAGCGGTTATTTTAAGATTTATTAGAACTTACGAGACTGTGGGAGAGGCAACAGAGGACCTAGTGCAACAGAGCTCCAGAAATGAGGGAAAAGGACTAAAGAGAAAAGATGGTGTTAGACTRCTGGAGGACAAACTGTCCACATGTCCTCACTCTGCTGCTGTCTTTAGTCTCTYTCCTCTACGTTTGTTGTAGTTACTTCKATCAATAACGTTTTCTTTGTCTCCAGWGRTTAATRCACCTGGACCAGTCCTTCTGTGTCTCTCTGTGTCTCTTGCACTCTAGCACTATATAAATAAATTGAAYTGAATTATTTGAATCTGAAAGACTTCTTTAGGTTCCTCCAGATGAGTGTCTTTTTTATRAGAACTGTAAAATATCAAACTTAACACCAGTTGAAATTGGTTTCTTTAAAATCAATCACTGGGGTATAATTAATCTGAAAACAAGGCTGTTTCCATAATAATTCATATAATGTGCTGCTTCAGGCCAAAAATGAAAAGACATATAACACAAGGTGGAACTCAACACCATGCGTCAATTGGTAAGTCCTGCGTAAACATCAATCACCATGAATGACCTTGACYTTTGACTCTTTGATGCCCAAATCTAGTCAGAATGAGTAMTACCCTAATGAAGTTACTATGCCTGTTTATAAGTAGATATATAATTTTATTCAGGAGATACTGTGCACACAAGACCACCTGTGATGGATGGATACTGCACTAAACATGGTGCATTCCAGTAGTCCTGGGAAGTGGTAATTTCCCTGTTCCCATTGGTAGGTTTAAACTGGAACGCCCCCTCCAGTGGTAATATTCCACTCRTATAGTGGAAGCAATTTCTACATTCCATTTACATYGTATTCCCGGWACTGGTAAATGGTAGTGACRTCATTTCCCAACAAACTATATGAAACATATTCCAGTTAGCSGACAGGCGATTGTATTGTTGCCGCWAACCTAGCTACAACACTGCTACAATAAAAACAATGACAAAAAGAGAGCTCWGCTATACATCATGCAAATAAACATTGATTTTAACACCTACAGTACTGCAAAGAAAACACACTAATTGTGTGAGTGATTAAACATGCATAAAAAAATTAAGAAAGATAATTAACAGTAAAAGTTACTGAGTTAACTTT